GATCCATCTCTGACTCTTATTCTCCCTTCCTTGACTTAGTGGCAGCCATCTCACAGTAATTTTGACAACATTTTGACTGTGTTGTTTTCTGGAAAGACACCATTCCATTCTCCCAGTTTCTCTGTCTCTTTCACATCTGTTCCAGCAATGCTACCTTTCATAACACTGCTTCTGACACGCTCCCCTCTATCCTCAATTGAAGATTCTCCCACAATGAGATGAAATGACCCCTCAGTTGTGTCAGACCCATTTCACAAAATTCTGCCCTTATCCCTTACCCTGCCTTTCAGAACTGGGATAGCCTTCCCCTCACCTTCACTTTCCACCACACCAGCCACTGTTTTCAAAATATCATCTACCAACATTTCAGCACCATCAGCAGGAATCCACAAACAAACATTTACCCGCTCAAGTCCCTGTTGATATTCTGCAGGAACCATTCTTCCTGACTCTCTGGTCCACTCCTCTATCACCTTCAACACTTTGTTCCTCTCCCATCCAATCGCAGGAAGTGTAACACTTGCTCTTTTAAATTTCCCCTCCTCAATGTCCAAGGCCACAAATACTCTTTCCAGTGAAGCAGTGATTTATGTGGACTTCTTTCAATCCAATCTACTGCTCACTACAATGTCTCCTCTATAGAGTATACACAGACTGGCTAACCACTTTCTGGAACAACTGCTCACTCCACAAGCATGATTCCAACCTTCCTTGCCATTGCAAGACGCTTGCAACCGTACACACCATCTTGCTCTCAAACTCATTTCTGTCCTAGGTCTGCAGCAGTGTTCCAAAAAAATCCAGTGCAAGCTGAAGGGAGCTTGTTTCCTATTTAGGCACTTGACAACCCTCTGATTCTCTTGGTTTTACTTTCAGCAGAGCTGACATATACTCTGCCATTAGCACCTACTAATAACTCTTGCTCCGGATCTGACTTCCACCTCTACATTCATTACCACTCCCTTGCATTTTGTTTAATGGCTTCAGTGATCTCAAATTTTGCTTGTCCTCTAACCTTCCCCTGACTATCCCTTTTGTTTCACTTGCTCCTCTCCACTTTTTTTCTACACTGTAAAGCCCATCACTTTTTCCCTCTCTCTTAATTTTGAAGAAAAGTCATAGAAGACTTTAGAAATAACTTTTTAATAAGACTTGAAATGTCAACTCATTTCCCTTTCCACAGATGCTGCCAGACCTGCTGAGTTTCTCCAGCTCGCTAATAGGATTTAACTTCTAAACCATGCCACACTGCCTGATTTTAAAGTAAATACAGAATAAAGTTCCAATTGATAGTAAAGACTATATATTTTTTATTTTAAAAAAAACGTTTTAAATAATTTGTTTAAATCCTTGGTAAAAAGCAAACAAATAGCTTCAATAACAAACACGTTACTTATATTGAACAGTCTAATTTCAGAACATATTCATAAATTACATTTTGTTTTAAAAAAATACATCAGTGAGTGTTTTTTTCCCCTCCTCTCAAAGGCTCATTTATCTAGTCAGGTTTGGAATGGAATTTTAACAACTTCTAGTGGATAAAATTGTAATAATACAAATCTATTTTTTTTTCCCCTAAATGATGACCAATAACAAAAAAAAAATTGAAATATACTCACATTTATCTGGGAGGTTATTTCCTGTCTTCATGAAGCTGCTTGAAAGCTCTGCCTGCTGACAGTGCACATTAGAAATTTGGATGTTCCCTGCATGATCTTCCTCCTCACTTTATTTTATAGCCCTAAAATCATCTACAGTTCACCTGATCTTCCAATATGTGCAATCAGTGGGTGACGCTCTCCACTGGCAGTGCTGAATTAGAAAATGACCCCTTTGATTCATAAAATTATAGACTACAGCACACAAGAGATTAAATGCCTCATCAGGTTTACTCTGGCTCATTCAAAGAGCAATCAAGTTATCCCTGATTCCTGAACCCTCTCTCCATACCAATGGCACTTTTGTTCCTTCAAATATTTATCCTACTATTTTTGATAACTCCTGTGGAATCAGGTCCACCAGCCTATTATGTGTTTTCTTCCAAATCCAGTTCTGACAAAGGGTCAATGTACTCAAAATGCTAACTCTGCTTTCGCTCCACAGATGCTGCCAGATCAGCAATTCCAGTTTTTGTACCTTACAACTTGTTGCATAAAAAAGTATTTTTATTCCATGTTGCTGTGACCCTTTTGTCTATAATATTACACCTGTGCCTTCCGGTTATTGATCCTTTAACAAATGGAAACATATTTTTCTCTATCCTTTTATATAAAACTGCATAATTTGAAACACCTCAATTAAAATCTTCCCTTAGCCTTCTTGTCTATAACAAGAACAACCTCAGTTTCCCTAATCGATCTACATAACTAATTCCTCATTCCTGAACTATTCTAATAAATCTCTTCTGTCGAATCTCCAAAGGCTTTATTTCTTCCTGATGTGTAGTTCCCAGAATTGATTACAGTACTCCAGTTGGAGCAAATCAATGCTATACGTAGCTTTAGCATAACTTCCTAGCTTTTCTACTTATTGTAACTATTATTTATAAAGAACATGACTCCCATATAAAACATTGTTGGCTTAAATTTTGCTTCTGATGAATGACAAAGAACATGTTCTCCTATTCCGTTACTTACAGCTGTTCCATTGATGCTCCACTGCACAACTGGCTTGGGAAATCCCTCCACAACACAGGTGATCACTTTAGTATTGTTCACAACCTTCTTTGTCAATTTAGTTATCCTGGGCTTTCCTGTAACAAGAAATGAGTAGTTTGATAACAAGTTTGAATTGAGGAAACGTAGGGATGAGACTTGTGTCTTCATTGCCCAAATGGCAGTCTAGTGGGTAAGATTACCTATACTTGATAGAATCAGCCTGAAATGAATCAGAATGAAAATCACGTAGGTTCAATAAGAATCATGTGGTCCACAACACCAAATTACTGTCCTGGTGGAACAAAAGGAAATATAACCCAGAGAAAAAGTAACTAACTTTGATAACTACTGTGTCAACTAGCCATACAACATTTTCACCTCCTGGTTGTGCCCCTTCCCTAAACTTATGCTAGACTGCTAAAGCTATAATAAAATTAGCTCTGTGAAAATTTCATTTGATACAAGTACTGTCTGGTGTCATATTGATTCACAAAGTCCAGGAAGGTCCCAAGTTGCTAGTCAGTATTGATGAAGCTGATCTTAGCCATGGCGTCATGTAGGGCTAGCTTTGCCTGAACTTTGGCTGTTTCAATTTCATTAATGCAGCATATTGACACCCTCTTACTATCTTGCGCTCAGTAGTAGCAGAACAGCATGCTGGTGGTAAACCTTCTGGCATTAACGCTGTCATATTGAAACCTCAGCTACTAGCCAGGAATTGTCCTTCACAGTTCATTTTGCTAAAAACTTGAAAAGTAGATGCCCTGACCGAGACAAGCTGATGATCCAAATTGCTGGCAGGGACCGAGAAATCCTGGTGGACATTGTGGTGGAGAGGAAGGCTGTCCTCCTCCTGGACTGCCAGAGGAGACCATGGCAACAAATCGGCCCAGTCTGGCCCAAAGTCGCCAAGTGAATCAGTGCCATTTCCACAGTTTTGAGAAATGTGCAATGAGCTTCTGCACTCTGCAAGGTTAAGAGCCGCTATCTTCCCTGCTACTGCAGCAATGTGTTTGAATCTTAACTGCCCTCTGGGATGGGCAGTAAATGGTGGTCAGCCAATGACACTCTCACCCCATGAATGAATTAAAGAGGAGGTCATCTGGATAGTGAGTGGCTGGGAGAGAAAATTGCAGGTGATGGTGTTTCCATATGTCTGCTGCCCTTGACCTTCTAGATGGAAGTGATTGTGGGTTTGGAAGTTGCTGTCCGAGGATCTTTGGTGAATTTCCGCAGTGCCCTGGTAGATAGTACGCACTACTGGTATTGAACCTCTGTGGTGGAGGGAGTGAATGCTTGTGGATATGGTGCCAATCAAGTGGGCTGCTTTGTCCTGGATGGTGTCAAGCTTCTTGACTGTTGTTGGAGCTGCACCCATCCAGGCAAGTGGGGACTATTCCATCACACTCCTGACTTGAGTCTTGTAGATGGAGGACAGGATTTGAGGAGTCAGGAGGTGAGTTACCTACTGCAGTATTCCTAACCTCTGACCTGCTTTTGTAGCCACTGTAATCATATTGCGAGTCCAGTTCAGTTTCTGGTCAATGGTAACCTGCAGGATGTTGATATTAGGGGATTCTATGATGGTAACAATGTACCACCTTCCAGCCCAAGACTGCACATTGTCCAGGTCTAGACATGATCTGCTTCAGTATCTGAGTAGTTACAAATGGTACTGAACGTAGTCCAATCATCAGTGCATCCCCACTTCTGACCTTGTGATATAGGAATGCTCATTTATGAACCACTTTTGGCCCCTACTATGCACCCCACTCCCTCTTGTCCTTCACAGGCATGAGCAGCACCTGTACAGTCTCTTCCTACAAGAGGCTTGTGCCTCAAATTTCCAGTTTCTTGTATCCCTGTAAGGAAGAGGTGCAGATCCATCATAGGAAGCAACCACAAGGCTGCCTCCTACACCCTCCACCAGCTCACTGATACCTTGGTGACTGCTTTATCTAGATTAGACTCAGAAGTACAATCTGGTGAGCATATCACTAACACTTTTCTTCAACTGGCTAAGGAAAAAACACCCCAGGTTTCCGGGATTCAGAGGACTGCTTCAGAGACTCAGGCATTTGCTCAGCTCCATGCAGAGAAAAGACCCCATGGTGCCAGCCATTTAATAACTTCATGAAAATGCACAGACACAAGAGAAGCAGGTAGGTTTGTTGGAGACACTCGGCAAACAGGATTGGTGGTTTGAGACCTCCAAATGCTGTGCTGGCTCCAGCATGCGAATATCTGGCTGTGTCTATGGACAGGCCCAGCAGAGTGCTCACTGTCTTGTGGAAATACACACAGGGCAATACTCCATCACTGTAGCCAATGGTGCTCAGCATAAGTAACAAGGCCAACAGGGGACGCCGGACCTTGACTTCACTCTAGGTGCTCTTTTCTCTCTAGGAGACAGGGCGATCCCAGCATGCATCCAGCCGGACATGACTGCCAAATGACTGTCTCCTCGCAGGACACTAGAGAGTGCCAGGCCTCTCTACCTTCAGCCTGCCTGTGACCCAAAACCTGCGGATGTTGAAATCGAGGAGTGTGAGCCTTCATCTGGTCAGGACACTATCATTGCATCTTGGTCCTTTAGTCACAAATAGCCCTAAGGGCCATCTGCCCAGCAGGCTCCACTATAGGGCTGGCTGCCTCCACGACACCTGCAGACCCCAGATTGCACCTGGACATACTGGGAGGGCAAGAAAAAGGAAACCTTCTGAGGACACAAAGGTGGCACAGATGACATTCACTGTCAATAGAATAAAACATTTGTAAATATATTAGCACTTGAAATCATCACTTGTCTGATCAATTGTTATTTTCACTGCTGCTACAAGAACTTAGCTGTGTAAGCTACCATTCCTAAGTGTCAAATAATGTTAGAATTCTGTCTGAAGAAGTGCCACTCTTTCCCTAATTCCCATTGAAGCATAACATGCTGCATTCATTTAATGGTGCAGTATCAAATACTGTAAAATAGCTGTTCAAATAGTTGTTAAAAATAATTTATATTGGAGAACAGGAAAAGTGACAAAAGAAACCGTAAAGCTATGTTTTGTTTCTGGGACTAAACAAAGGCTACTTGCTATCAGAGCAGCAACAAAATTTACAGTCAATGAATTTGTCTTCACACAGTTCACATCTATTGGAATTAAGTCCTGTCTGGCTTGTTGTGCCAGACAATTACATCATTCTACCATGGCATCCACATTGTGTGGTGATTTACTGGATGGCAATTGGTACTGAATTGAACTATAGATCAGAATTATTGATTTCAAAATATTGAGAGAAAATCACCAGAAAACAGAATAAGATGAGCCTGTTGGAGTTACTTCAATGCATTTGTTTTACCTTCCACCCGTACAATTATTGTTTTCTCTCTCTTCATTTCCTTTACTTCCACCAATTTGGCTGAGCAGGTGTAAGTACCAGAATGTATATACTGCAGTGAATCCAACCTGAGGGGAGTTTGGTAAATCTTATTTTTCTGAAACACAAAAAGAACACGTCAGAAACTTATTATATTAAAACAGGCGTGGATTTATCTTATGGAAAAATAGAGTCACCAGAGCCCAGGGAAGAACCCAGAATGTCTGTGCAGCATGTAAAATCAACCATCAGCCTGTGTACCATGACAAAAATACAGAATGTTGGACAAACTCAGCAGGTCTAGCAGTAACTGTGGACAGAGAAACAAGAGTTATGTTTCAAAGCCCATGACATTTCTGTAAAACTGTTCTTTTAATGAATTTTGTGAAAGAGTCACATTGGACAAGAAACATTAACTCTCTTTCTCTCTCTGCAGAAGCTGCTAGACCTGCTGAGTTTTGGCAGCTTTTATTTTTAATTTATTCAGGTCCCCAACATCTGCAGCATTTTGCTTTGATATTACAATAACCGTTTGTATCAAAATGTCACTTTATGCCAGAGAATTGAACACATTCAGCAGGATTCTTATTTCCAGTCTCCACCATGGTAGGTCCAAATCTCAAAGTTGCCTCAATGGGATTCCAGCAAACATTTGAATACTTCTGTGCTGAAATCAAATATTTTAGCCAGCCAACTGGATTGGATGTACCTGGTTTTACTTATCACCAATGTGTTAATCATTGTCCTTGTGAGGAGCTGAAGCAAAGATGAGAACTTGAAAACAATACTGAGAGGCTGACAGCAGTTCTGGAGTACTTAATACCAGGTTATAGAAACCAAATCCTTGCACGTTGAAAAAACTCCCACATTGGCTATAAATTCTCACAGCTTGACAGTAGATTTAACTCACTAGCTGCAGAAAGAGTTTCCCTAGGAGTTACAAACCATGAAGATAAACTGTTTGGACACACATACAAAAATGGTGACTCATAATAAGATTCTGCTTTGTTGAAGAAAAGGCAGACCAGGGTGCATTCTTCTCTAAAGTGTATACCTGCCAGCATCCTTAAGCTTTTAAAATTAATTAACAAGTGGAATAGATGACAATACCCTTCAGATTTCCTTTAGAGCTGTGCAAAACTGTAACACAGTGCTTCGTAACAATTTAAGAGTTATTTCAGCTAGTTAGCGCATTGTTCAAATTACGAGCTGAGTACACTAGAATTTAACCAGCATAGGAATGTGCAAGTTGCAATGTGCTATGGTTTTGAACGATTAACCATGGGTTTTGCTAATGATTTATTACAATGAGAGACATCACATTTACCAAAGGAATATCACAACAAAATGAAAACTGAAAGAAAATTAAAGACGATAAGAAATGAGAGAATAACAAGGGAAAGGATATTAGAGCATATCAGGCAGTGGATGGTGGAGGAATTAGTTAATTGCTATTATGGGAAACAATAATCTCTTCAAATTTCATGAGATACTTCCAAGCAGGTTGCTGAAGCAGGTGAGTTTTCCTACTTTGGCATTCCCATAAATTACAAATACATTACCTACCCCAAAAACAAAGTAGATAGAAAGAGTAGTATATGGTGTTGCAACATCCAATGTATAAGCTAGATGTTGATAGACTTAGTGGCCTTCTCTTTCTTCTATTTTTGTTTTTTCATAAGAGGACAAGTGAGGAAAACAAAAGCAAAGAATGTTTAGAAGTCGCTCGGTGATTAAAATAAAAATCAAATAAAATGATAGAAAGAAAAAGGGGAGTGAAAGAAAATACTGGGGCAAAAGAAACACAAGACAAATAAGATCTAGGGCCAGAATCTATCATCCTGGTACAAAAATATCAGAGTCGTTAACTCAATACAGCAATCATTCTCAATCAGCAGACCCAGGTATGATGCAAGGAAAACACCAGTTTGGAAAACAGTGAATAAACACGGCCCTAAGTCACCTGCTGCCCTAAAGATCATTACATTCATAATACGGCATGTCTGAAATCACTCATTTACTGTATACTAAAGCATCATTTCCTGAAAGAAGATAGGTGAGAAAGAAATCAAAAGGGACGGAAAAAAAATCAAGAGAAAGCAACAATGAAAAGGAACAAGAAGAAGAGCAATAGAGTGAAGCACATGACTGAAAGGCAGCTTATATTAACTCCCTCAGCCCAGTGGAAATGTGGTAGCGGTGGCCCAAAAAATAGCACTGAGCCACTTTCTCAGGCTCCAGGGTTTGACTGGCTCAATGTGGAAGCTGACCTGTTTCCCATCCTCCCAGAACCAAAAGAAAATGCAATTATATTTCCATTTGGTGCCTGCAGTTCACTAACTGAATGTAAATACAACCTGGACAACACTGGGCATGGACGCTCTGTCCAGCTAATCTCTGCCTTTAGATAAAATCTGTTCCATGTAGTTTATAGAAAGGAACGAAGGAAAGTAAAACTGAAAACATTAAAAAAAATTCCCAGAGATTAGCAAATGATTCAAACACTAGTAACATTAAAATGAAGATGGATTAAATGGAGGAAGCACTTAGGAGCATGACAGGGGTTCATCTGCAAGATGTTCACTCTGTACTACTTTGTCACATCACATCAACTCCACAGATTCCTCCGCCCTAATTCTAATGGTTTAGCATATGTTAGAAACAACATCCATCAGCTTACTTTCATCAGGGTAACTTCCAGAGTTCCAGAAGAGAAAGCAAGGCATTCCAGGGTTATGTTCTCTCCAACCATCTTAGAGATGTTTTCATTAGGATTCATAGTCAAGGTCAAGTCTGTTAATAACAGGATATTTGTAAGTATTTTTTTCTCCTTCTCATTTGACTCCTTTATATCTCCAAGCCATTTGTTTCCCACATTAAAGCCCAGGAGTATTAAGGATGAGGACATGATTATTTTGCTGATTAGCTCTGTATTACCTGCCTCCTCCATCTCTCAAAAATGCTTCTTCCTTGCTGGGACACAGTTTCTCAGGATCATGATGTCACTGGTACCTCAGTCAGGGATGTCAGTGTATTTGCAAGAGTCCTGAATACTGAAATTCTAAAAAGAATTACAGCCAAGCCAGGTGTCATCATTCGAGTCAGAGTCATACAGCATGGAGACAGGCTCTTTGGTCCAATTCATCCATGCCACCCAAGTTTCCCAAACTAAACTAGTCCCATTTGCCTGCACGTGGCCCATATCCCCACAAAACCTTTCCTATTCATGTATCTATCCAAATATCTTATCAATATTGTAATTGTACCTGCATCTATCGCTTCCTCTGGCATTTCATTCCACATATGAACCACCCTCTGTGTGAAAAACTTGCCCCTCAGGTCCCTTTTAACTCTTTCTCCTCTCCTTAAAAACATGCCTTCTAATTTTGAACTCCCCTATTCAAAGGAAAAGACCTTTGCTATTCACCTCATTTATGCCCTTTGCAATTTTATAAACCTTTATAAAGGTCACCCTTCAACACCCATGCTCCAGTCAAAAATAATCCCAGCCTATCCTGCCTCTCCTTACAACTCAAACCCTCCAGTCCCAGCAATATCCTTGTAAATCATTTCTACACCTTCTCCAAGTTAATAACATCTTTTTTATAGCAGGGTGACCCCAGAATTGTACACAGTGCTCCAAAAGTGGCCCCACCAACCTCCTGTACAACTGCAACATGACTTCCCAACTCCCAAACACAATGGTCTGAGCAATGAAGGCAAGTGTGCTAAACACTTCTTAACCACCATGTGACCCAACTGTCAAAGAACTATGTACTCCTGTTCTTTTCCAAAAGTGGTCACAATAATAAAAGAATGGGAAACTTTAGAAAGTACTCCAAGTTGAATATAATCTGGTTATTAATCAACATCTCTATACATGAAATTCTAACAATGAATAGAGTTCTATTTTATTTTTAACTCCGTGGTATTAATTCTAACTGCACAATGGAGTAAAATGGGTGATAATGAATAATCAGTTGAACTTATACATTTTCCAATTCTCATTTTGATCGGCATTAATAGTAATGAACATTTGATAAATGACTTGCTTCCACTATGCTTAGCTTTCGGTCTTTGCCAATTTTGTACATGCTGCTACTGCCACTGTAATCCAAACTTGTTTTTTCTGGTTGTCGTGTTAGTCTATGTACAATAATAATAAATGCTAAGAACCATTTACCCACTTTTATAGATTGCGGAAAATTAAGCTGAGTTATTAGTTACGTTATTTATTTCCACTTAGATCCATTGGGAATTGTAATTTTATTTTATTTCACTCTATTTACTCAAAAACTCCAATTCCCAGGCAAATTAGTTTTGATTTGTTGCTTTCTGCAGGTACGTTTAAGTTCCACAATCAAGGAGAAAACTGGGTTCTTAAGAGCTTGTTGCTAGGTTGAGATGTTACAGTGAATACAATCACAAAAATTGACTATGCTTCCATATTTGTGACAGCTTATTTCAGTGGGCATTACACTAATTAGGAAACACATGCTCAAATTTAATTAAAAGGAATATACAAAACCAGTTAATATTTCAATTTAAGGTAAATACTTACAGTGCACAGTGACGTTAACAGCATCTTTTATGTCAGGGTTATCTTGCTCTGAACATGTGTATTCACCGGTATCGTCTTGTGTCACATTAATTAGCTCATAATGATCTGTGGCCACAACTTTCTCCTCTCCCTACAAAATTCATACACAATACATAGATTCAAATAACAACTGACTGTCAGAATATGGTTGTAATGAATAGAATAAAACACATTCAAGTTTGCTATTTGCAAGGTAGTTCTGCTAGGACGTGTGTTTCATTAATATGAATTGGCTGTAATGTGATTGATGAATAGTGGACACTGTTTGGATAATGCAAACTTTCTATTGTACAGGATAGCAATTTCCCTACAATGCAATTTTCTATAGCATGAGGTCGCACAAGGACACAACTGTCGTGTTATTGGAGAAATACCTGTATATCAATTCTAATAGGGGAGGCAATGGCCTTGTGGTATTATCACTAGACTATGAATCCAGAGACCCAGGTAATGTTCTGGTAACCCATGTTTGAACCAGACCAGGAAAAAATCTGGAATTAAGAGTCTAATGATGGCTATGAAACCGTTGATGATTTTTGGAAAAGCCATCTGGTTCACGAATGTCCTTTAGGGAAGGAAATTTGCTGTCCTTACCTGGTCTGGCCAACATGTGATTCCAGACCCATAGCAATGCAGTGACTCATAACAGCCCTCTGGGCAACTGGGGAGGAACAATAAATGCTGGCCGAGCCAGTGATGCCACATCCCATGAATGAAAAGTAACAAAATAATACAATTTTGCTGACATGAAGAAAAGATTTAACAATGAAGTAATAATAATCCATCTGTAGGCATGAGGTTAATATTTTCAAAAAAAGTATTCTTATTTCAGCACTCTACACTTGCATTTAAGTTAAAAACAGACATACATGTACTAATAGGCGTGAATACACACATTACTTTTGACATTATTATGCTTATAGAAGAACATATTGAAGTACAAATATCACACTGGGATTCTATTGTAACTCTAATGGAAGACTGGCAATCCCTCCTCGCAGAGAAAGAGTGGTAGCCCTTAACATTATACTTCTAGTGTTTCAAAATTAACATGTGAGCACCAGAACTTGCATCCACTTGATAGACGACAAATGACAGGGTCACAGTGAACTTCGCTAGGAAAGGGATATATAGAATTTACAATAAGGTAAAAGAGATCTAGAAGGAACAAGTCACTAATTAAATGGAGAACATTAGTATAATTACTATATTAGTGTTAATTTAGTTAAGCTTACATTTTTCATGAAGTTGAATTTTTCTGGAGGAGGATACCCATCACCTGAGCATGACACTGTAACATTTGTTCCTTCTTCGACATCTTGTGCTGGGGTCACTTCCAATGAAATCTTTGAAGATTTGTCTGGCCAAAAATGAACAGTGTGTGTTAGCTTTTACACTCTAGAGCATTCTTTGCACATTTCACATAATGAATCCCATTTCATTTGCATTTCTAAAGTGAAACAGGGGCAGTGTTTTCAACATGCAGACTTCTCTAGTGTCCACCATTTGATTGGATGTCAAGCTATCACTCTGTAGTGAAGAAGAACAAGACCATGGCCCTGTTTGATCCTCTCTCTATTTCAGAAACGTAGAAGCTGATTGAGGCCTGCTCCTGAACTCAGTCAACCAATTTTTTCAATCTAAACTGGGTGGATCAGTTTACTAGCTGGATACATTCACCATGTGATCACACTTTCACAGAGCAGTGGTTTTATGCCTACTTTTTTTTTAAAATGGGGATATTACATGAAATGCTACTCATCTAAGTTTATGAACAGCCGTATTTTTTTTAAATTGCCATAGTTCCAAACAAGTCATTCCAGTGACACATCAAGTCAGGAAAAATGCCTCTGAAAATGCAAAAAGACTCAGTCTCGGGCATCTTATGTTACAGCTCCAAAACATACCTTTACACTTGCCTACTTCTACACCCTCCTGATTGGTCTCCCATCCTCCTTGCTCCATAGACTTAAACTCATCCAAGCCGCTGTTGTTGGTATCCTACTTTGCAACAAGTCCTACTCAACCTTCACTCCTGTGATGCTACTGACCTACAACAGCTCGCAGTACTCAATGTTTCAAATTAAATATTCTCATTCCCATGGTCAAAACTCTTCATGCCATCAACCCTATGTTTTTGATCTCCTTCAGTTCTGCATTGCTTTGAGATATGTGCACTCCTCCAATTCTAGTTTCTTTCTTATCCCAATTTTAATCACCACAGGTGGTAGTACCTTAAACTGCTCTAGCATTCCTTCCACATATCCGTCAACCTCCTTTAAAGATGCTGCTCAACACTTACCCCTTGGAACAAGATTATGATGGTCTTTCCTCATACGTGGCTTATTAAATATTGTTTGATAATATCGTAGGGAACATGTTCATTAACATTGGTAGGGAAATTATTAGAGAGGATTCTTCGAGACAGGATTTATCCCACTTGGAAATAAGTGGGCGTATTAGCAAGAGGCAAGATGGTTTTGTGAAGGAGAGATCATGTCTCACTAACTTGATTGAGTTTTTTGAGGAAGTGACGAAGATGATCAATCATAGAAGACAGAGGGTAACAGTGGAAGGGTGCCTTTCTGAATGGAGGGCTGTGACTAGTGGCGTTCCTCAGTGTTGGGACCTTTCCTATTTGTAATATATATAAATGATTTGGAGGTAAATGTAACTGGTTTGATTAGTAAGTTTGCCGATGACACAGAGGTTGGTGGAATTGCAGATAGCAATGAGGACCGTCAAAGGATACAGCTGGATATAGATTGGTTGGTGAGTTGGGCAGAGAGATGGCAGATGGAGTTTAACCCGGGAAAATGCGAGGTAATGCGTTTTGGAAGGTCTAATCCAGATGGAAGATATGCAGTTAATGGCAAAACCCTTAAGAGTACTGATAGGCAGAGGTATCTGGGTGTACAGGTACACAGGTCACTGAAAGTGGTAATGCTGGTGGAGAAGGTAATCAACAAGGCACATGGCATGCTTGCCTTCATCGGCCTGGGCATTGAGTTTAAAAATTGGCAGGTAATGTTGCAGCTTTATAGAACCTTAGCCAGGCCGCATTTGGAATACTGTGTTCAATTCTGGTTGCCACACTACCAGAAGGAGGTGGTGGCTTTGGAGAGGGTACAGAAAAGATTTACCAGGATGTTGCCTGGTATGGAGGGCATTAGCTATGAAGAGAAACTTGGGTTGTTCTCATTGGAATGACAGAGGTTGAGGGGCAACATGATAGAGGTCTACAAGATTATGAAGGGCATGGACAGAGTGGATAGTCAGAAGCTTTTTCCCAGGGTGGAAGAGTCAGTTACTAGGGGCCATAGGTTTAAGGTGCAGGGGCAAGATTTAAAGGTGATGTATGAGGCAAGTTTTTTTACACAGAGAATGGTGGGTGCGTGGAACTCGCTGCCGAGGGAGGTAGTGGAAGCAGATATGATAGTGACTTTTAAAGGGCATCTTGACAAATACATGAATAGGATGGAAATACAGGGATACAGTCCCCGGAAGGATAGCAGGTTTTAGTTGTGACAGGCAGTGTGTCAGTGCAGGCTTGGAGGGCCGAAGGGCCTGTTTCTGTACTGTAATTTTCTTTGTTCTTTGATAACACACCTCTCAAGTACTTGTCAAAAGTTTTGCTGTGTTAAAGTTGTTATGTAAATACAAGTTGCTATTGCACTAGGGGGAGAATCACAATTGCACTTGTAAGTATCAAGGATTATAATGAATATATCTTTAGGACACCATACTTATTTGACAAGCACACTGGTTTGTAGTATATAAAAAATATTGCTGCCGTATTACATGTATTCCTGTCAGTGCAGGATAAACCAAGCAGCAATAAGATTCTCTAACTCTTGACTGTGCAAGTGGTATATGCTAGTTGCAGAAATAAATGTAGTGTTGGAAAACCTCAGCAGGTCTATCAGCTTTGGTGGAGAAAGAAACAAAAGTTAACATTTTGAGTCTGATATGACTCTTCTTCGAAAATGAAGGAGGCTGAAAAATGGTGGCTTTTATGCTATTGACTAAGGAGGAGGAGCAACTGGAATATGGAAAGGGTGCCCTGATCAAAATCACTAATCCTCATTTTATGGTAATGAAGGAGAGATATAGATGCAGATTAGGTGTTAATGGTAGGTACGAATATTAGAGAGTAGGTCTACTCTGCTGCGAGTGAACAAAGGCATACAAAATCAGGGGCAGGAGAGGATGTAATCAAATAGAGATCAATGTCATAGTCAGAACTTTTTGATGCTGATATGATGCCAGGCATGTTGGCTTTATGTCCAATCACTAGGAGACTGCATCAAAAAACATATCCTGTTGACCAATCACAGTGGGCAGTATACTGATCACACTCAACCAGCTTCTAAGCCTCAGAAAACTATGAACACCATTAGATACGATTCTGCTCTTGTAAATCATTTATGATATAATCCAGATATAATCTACATGTTACACCAGAATCTGATTTGAGTCGGGCTTGCAATGTGATGGGTTTGTACATATGAGAAGCTACATTAGCTAGAATTTATATTAATACATAGGACCCTGTTTTATATAGGCAAAAAGGTATTTTCACACGCATTGCACCTATTATCAAAAAGGAATTATGAAGGCAGCCAATCAGAAGCTGTCTGCCTGGGCTGAAAAATAAGATTGACAGTTAGCTGTTCTTGATACATCTTCATGCTAATGATGGTCCAACTAAGACAATGGAAATAAAGTCATTCCTTCACTGTCGCTGGGTCAAAATCCTGGAATTCCCTCCTTAATAGCACTGTGGGTCCATCTACAGCACAGGGACTACAGGAGAAGGCAGTTCACATCCACATTCTCAAAAGCAACTAGGGATGGGCAATAAATGCTGACTCGACCAGCAACATCCATATTCTACGAGTGAATAAAAAAAAAATCAGCTGTGTAATGTGGTGCCCCTTTGCTCAAGTCTGTGTCTTGTGTCCTACTTCCGGTGAATGCAAGATGGAAAGCTTCAAAGTCTTCCCTCCTTTTAGTAATGCTTCTGTTTTTACTTCAGACCTCTAACATCTGCAGTACTTTGTTTTAATTTGTATGCTAATTACAGGATCATGTTTCAATGATTGCAGAAAAGTCCTTTTGCAACTGAAAAGTTCTAATTAGTTTTAAAGGTGATTTATATGAAAGCTAATATATAATGAAGGGGTCTGGTGGCACTGTGGCAGTGTCTGTATTTCTGGGCACAAGGCCAGACTCCAGTCCTAACTGCCATGAAGGTGTTACATCTCAGATCCAAACTGACTGATTAAAAAATATTTACAATAGGATTGTTATAATGGACATTGTTATAATGATGTTAAGAAATAATCAGATCTAGATTAGATTGACTGTGCCATAATTCACACGCTGTAAGCAATTTAACAGTTTTACAACTGCAATTGAATAATCAAAATAATGCCACCTGCTTTCCCACAGGTCTGTCATAGGCCAACAACGAATCAGTTTAAAGATTTATTCTCAGCTAGCTTCAAGACTAATCACTTAAAATCACCTTATCTCTGTTACTTGTTGTCCCGGGTGCTGTTCCTGGCATTTCCTTTTGCAGAACTGTAGAAAATCAAAAATCTGCCCTGCCTCACTTTCCTGATGTATTTTAATTAGGATTTAAAATTTGCCAGAATTGCCTTCTGTGTCTATTGGGATTACTGACAGTATTCTTCAGTAATGAGGAAGGTATGACATATGCACCTGATGGTCCAGGCTGGGACTACAGTGCCACGACTCCAATAATACTTTGGTTTTCTCTTCTTTCCTGATGTCTCTAATTATGTCTGACTTTATGCCAATGGGTGATCATTTCACACCTCCTTCATGTATATAAATAATGTTGTCACGGCAGCACATAGGTGAGAGCAAGTGGTGAAGTCCAAGAATAGTAGCTTTAGCAATAACATTCCAGTCCTGAAAGTGAAGTTGATCCTTGTGATTTACTGGCTACAATCATATGAATATGTGGGTAAGTAAACAAGGGCAATCTCACTGAGTTGCACAATGTCGGAAAGTAATTGAAGATAGGCAATGTGTCGACAGCCGAGTGGATGAGCAGGCATTAAGCACAATGGCACAGAGTTTGGGAATGGGATTGTGTTAAAATGGAGCACTTACCTGCTCCTTCTGTAACCTACTTTGACTGAGTATAATTTTAAATTGCAGACGTCAGCGAGAACCAGTCCAGTGACCAGTGAGGTCACTTTAGGTAAGCAGGACCAGAACTCAATATCATCAGGACCCCCTGTCTTCTGTTTTAAACTAAGGCCTAACTGTGAGGATGCCTTAACTGCACATTAGGCAAAGTTATGTGGAACAGCACCAGGACTAGACAGAGGATAAGTAAAATAAGTATATATTAAGCTTGTCTGTGGGTCAACAGAACTAGGGGCATGGGTGTGTTTTTGATTCTTCCATAGAATACTAAACTGGTATCTACCTGACAATGTGAAAATTGCCCAGGACAAAACCAACCCAGCCAATTTTTTTTTATTCATTAACAGGATGAGGGCATCACTGGCTAGGCAGCATTTAGTGCCCAACCCTAAGTGCCCAGATGGTAGTTCAAACACATTGCTGAGAGTCTGGAGTCACATGTAGGCCAGATCAGGTAAGGTTGGCAGTTTCCTTCCCTAAAGGACATTACTACCCCAGTCTACTTTTTGATCATCGCTAAAGTGATGGAAGATGTCATTAACAATGCTATCACGCAACATCTGCTCAGCAATAACCTGCTCAGTTTGGGTTCTGCCAGAGCTACTCCGTTCCTGATCTCATTACATCCTTGGTTCATACGTTTGACAAGCAAACTGAACTGCAGGGGATGTGGAATTGATGGCTTTTGACACCAAAGCTTCATTTGACCTAGTGGGCCTTCAAAGAGCCCTAGCAAAATTACAATCAATAAGAATAACTCTCTACTGGTTGGAGTCATACCTACCACAAAGAAAGATGGTTTTTCTTGTTGGTAGTCAGTCATCTCAGCTCATCTCTGCAGGAGTTCCTCAGGGCAGTGTCCTAGGCCTAACCAGCTTCAGCTGCTTCAGTAATAACCTTCCCTCCATGATAAGGTCAGAAGTAAGGACGTTTGTTAATATTTGCACAATGTTCAGCACCATTTGTGACTCTTTAGTTCTGAAGCATTCCTTGTCTAAATGCAGTAAAACCTGGACAATACCCAGGCTTGGGTTGACAAATAACAAGTAACATTTGCACCATGCAATAACCACCTCCAACAAGAGAGAATCGAACTATTCCCCCAGAATATCAATGGCATTAACGGTGCTGAAATACCCACTGTCAACATCCTGGGGGTTATCACTGATCAGAAACTGAACTACTTAAATAATGTGGCAAAAAGAGCAGGTCAGAGGCAAGGAATCCTGCAGTGAGTAACTCACCACCTGACTCCACAAAGCCTGTTCATCATCTACAAGGCATTAGTCAGGAGTGTGATGGAATACTCCCCACTTGCCTGGATCGCTGCAGCTCTAACCACACAAGCAGCTGGACACCATCCAGGGCAAAGCAGCAGATTTGATTGGCACGACATTCCCAAACATTTACTCCCTCCAATTCCAACACACAGTAACAGCGGTATGTACCACGCAGGAATTCACCAAGGCTCCTTAGACAGCATCTTCCAAACCCACTTCCATCTAGAAGACTGCAGACGCATGTGATTGCCATCAGCTAAAGGTTCTGCTGAAAGCCACTCACCATCCCGACTTGGAATGATTACTGGTGTTCCTTCATCGTCACTGCATCAAAATCCTGAACCTCCATCGCATTGATCATGCCCCTACACTGGATGAACTATAATAGTTCAGAAAGACACAGAAACAGAAACTGCTGGAAAAGCTCAGCAGGTCTGGAAGCATCTGTGAAGGAGAAAACAGAGTTAACGTTTCGGGTCCGGTGACCCTTCCTCAGAATGGAGTTCTGAGGAAAGGCTACTCGACCTTAAATGTTAACTCTGATTTCTCTCCACAGATGCTGCCTGACCTGCTGAGCTTTTCCAGCAATTTGTTTCTGTTTTACAGCATCCGCAGTTCTTTTGGTTTTTGGTTCAGAAGGGCAGCTTCCCACAACATTTAAACAGATAAGAGGAGATGGGCCATAAATACTGGCTCAGCCCAATATGCCCAAATGCACTGAATTAACTTAAAAAAAAAAGGACGGGGAGAGGTCACTGGCTATGGCCAACATTTATTGCCATCGCTAATTGCACTTCAGAGGATTGTAGAAAGCCACCTTCTTGAAATTGCAACAGTCCATGTGGTATAGCGTTACACACAGTGTTTTTAATGAGTGAGTTTCAGAAATGTTACCCACTGACAGGGTGGCGGCGGAGGTGGGAGTAGGATGTGGTGAGAACTGTGATATAGTTCCCAGTCAAGACAATGCATGGTGTGGAAGGGAGCTTTCAGGTAGTGCTGTTCCCAAACATCTATTGCTCTTGTCCTCCCAGGTGGATAACGTTACAGGTTTCGAAGGTGATGTTGAAGAAGCCACAGTGAGAAATGCAGTCAATCACGTACGTTATACACAGTGCTGTCACAGTACGGCAGTGGCGAAGGGAGTACATGTCGAATGCGATGGCAGGAGCTGCTGGTCACTATCCTGGCTCGTATCAAGCTTCTCTAGTGTAGGAGCTCCAACCATCCAGGCAGAGGGAGAGTATTGCCTCATACTCCTGACTTGGGACTTGTAGGTGATGGGCAAGCCTTGGGTCACAAATTCCCTCTCTGACCTGCTCTTGTAGCCACAGTGGCTTATCCAATTCAGTTTCTGGTCAGTGTTAACCCCCAAGAACATGACTGCCCCACATTGCTCCTCTGGAAGGTACTAATATATTCAAGGACTTTGAAAAGAAAACTGAATCTTTAGAAACAGTGTGAAGTGACTGGTGCTGAGTCCGGATTTTTTTCAACAGATGATTCATGACTGTTTTGAAATACAGGGGAATGATAACAGAGGAGAGAAAACAACTAATGTCACATGGCAAGACACAAGGGCACAATTAAAATTTGTAGTCTTGATACAGAATAATTGACACACAAGTTGTATGCTTCTTAAATATACACTAGATCACTATAGTGCAATATCAACATATGTTCTAACTAGACTGTAAATACCGATCAATCCCAACAAACAAACATTTAACGGTGGTGGATGACAGCTTGTTTCCAAGTTCCACTTGAATGAGTAAATTTAGTCTGAAGTTTCAGTTTAATATTAAAGGAGTATTTCATAATCTACAAGATGCTAAACCAATGTCTCATTTGCCTGTTCAGACAGATGTAAAAAATTTCATGGCACTAACTGAAGAAGCAAGAGTTATTTTGGTATCCCATGGCCAACATTTAACACTCAACCAACACAGTCAAGCACAGATTAATGATGAAATCTGATTGTAGTCTTGCTTCATGTAAATTGATGACAATTCATTGACTGTGAAGCATTATGTAGTTCTGAGGAAATGAAAGGGACTGTAAGGTTATGTTTCTATACAAGAGTATACATATCATTCAATTCCATTAAACATTCAGCACTATCTTAGCTGGGACCAGCTTTGGTAACTACTACTTACAGTGGATCAACAAAGTGACTGGTGAAGATTCTTTGGATGCCGTCTTGTTCAGGCCTTCAAAGTAAATTGCCACGCAGGTAAAGGAAACTTTTCCCTCCTCCCTTCGTGATGAGTAACTCAGAGAAGATTGTATTTCATAAAAACCATTTTTATTAGTAACTATATTATTGGTAACATTCACATCTGGAAAACAGTAAGTGAAACATTCATCAGGGTTATAAAATGCAGAGGAGGTCATTCAGTCCATTATTCCCACGCTGGATCTCTACAACAGCAATTTAGCTAGTCTGACTCTAACCTTCCTCCATAATCCTGCAAATCATTTTCCTCCAGGTCCTAACCAGAAACCCTGCTAAAGGGCCATGATTGATTCTGTCTCCAACAGCCTTTCTCACAGTGCATTAAAAAACCCAAAAGAACTACGAATGCTGCAAATCAGAAACAAAAACAGAAATTCCTGGAAAATCTTAGCAGATCTAGCAGCATCTGTGGAGAGAAATCAGAGTTAATGTTTCGGATCCAGTGTCCCTTCTTCAGAACAGGTACTGTAGAAGGGTCACCGGACCCAAAATGCTAAATCTGCTGTCTCTCCCCTGATGCCGCTAGACCTACAGAGATTTTCTAGCAATTTCTGTTTTCGTTTCTCAGTGCATTTCGTAATTGCAGCTACCTGCTGTTTGAAGTCTTTATCATCTCACCTTTCATTCATCATGTTAAACCTTTGTCCTATGGTTCTTGACACCCCTGTCAAGGGCATTTCAATCAAGATTTCCTTTGACACTATCAAAGCAAGACGACTGATTAGGACAAGGGGACAGGAGTAGGCTCCCCTGAATCTATTCCACCATTCAACAAGATCATTGCTCGTCCGTGATCTAACTCCATTTACATGCCTTTGGCCCATATGCTTTAATATCTTTGCTTAACAAAATTTAATTTGTCTCAGATTTAAAATTAACAACCGATCCAGCATCTGTTATCATTTGTGGAAGTGAGTTCCAAACATCTACCAACCTTTGTGTGTAGAAGTGCTTCCTAACATTTCTCCTGAACAGTTTGGCCCTAATTCTCAGACTAGATTCAAAACATTTTTTAAATTAATGTTTGCATACAAGTAATTGCTGCATTAGGGGTTTTCAAACAGGAGACTAACAGATCAGAAACGGTCAGGTCATGGTAGTTATCTTAATCATTCTTGCTTGGTTTGTGTTGGAGTAGGAGACAACACTGTCCCTGGAGTCCACCTTATAATATTCAAGGGTATCAATCCGATTGTGATTGACAAAAAAAAGCAGGCTTTTAAAGTCTATTAATAAATTTGGACTCTTCCATTTTAGAAGAGCTGAGTAGATGTCAGAGGACAAGAAAATTGAGAGAAGTATAATTAAAAAACATACACTACAGATATCAGAGTGGAGGTAAGGGAGAGCTACTGGCTTAGGTGCAGTGGGAAGTCAGCCAGCTGACTCTCCAGGTTACTATACAGTGAAGCTTACTCTGTGCAAGGACAGGATGAGGATAAGGCTGAAATTTCATGTGTTCTGTGGCCAAATTGCCTGACGTCACGTGCTAGCTTCGGAGTATACTTATCTAATCTGAAGGCAACATATCTGTTGTCCCCCAGGAGAAATGGCATCATTGAAAAATCAACCAAAAAGTGGCAAATCCATTCAACCTGGTAGTCATACCTGGGCTGCTGAGGTCCACATTCTTATAATTGTGCTGCCAGGTAATATTGGGCATTGGGTAGCTATTGTTCACAACACACACACCAACCTGAGGTAAATGGAAACAAGCAAAAATAATAATGTTATTAGGTTTCTGGAAACACTTCAGTAATAATATTTGACATTTGTGTTTATTAGCCATCAACATTTTCTCAATTGGAGAACGTTACAGAAATTTGTGCAGAAACCTTTTGAGACAGGTATCAATGCTTCTTTCTAACATCAACCTTATCATAGTCTGATGGAGGTGCATGCTGGTTAATGCTAATGGATAGAACAAAATGGCCAGAAATGCACAACTGCACAGATTCCTGTCGATGCCAACAGCAGGTGGCCCAACAGTTTTACACCAATGTAACCTGTCAAATGTGTAAAAACTGAAAGATGTTCAGGATGCTGTAAATCAGGAACAAAAACAGAGGCTGCTGGAAGTTGAGAGGTCTAGCAGCATCTGGGAAGAAAAAAATCAGAGTTAATGTTTCAGGTCCGGTGACCCTTGCTCAGAATTGAGGAAGGGTCACTGGACCCGAAACGTCAACTCCGATGTCAAATGTGTAAACTGATGCCCTTTTGATATGGTCTGGCCCTGAACTGTAATTAAAACTTCCTGGTTGAACTAATGGACATCAAACTGCTATAAAAACATTTTCTGCATTCATTTTAAACATGACATCATCGTAAAATGTTTGTTGGGTTCTTGGTTCCATTATAGCGTGAGATGCCTTAAACTTACTGAACATCTTTTTTTAGAAATGTAATTAACAGTTAATCAGTACAAATTAAACATTTTATAACTATCACTTAATTCACAGGATCATAAGTTTTTTTTGGAATAGAAAATGCCATTAATTCCAGCAAGCAAGAACCATTTGAAGAGAGCAATGCCAGCAAGGCATCTCTCAATTCCCTTCCATTCCAGAAATCATTGTCATATGTAACAATTTATACTGACTGTTTCATTCACTCTTGGTGATGTATTGTCAAGATTATAACAAGCTCTTTGTTCATAACTCACTGAAAGGTGCATATACAAGTGGTGCAAGCAATGATGAAGTCAAATGGTACAGCAGCCTTCATTGCAGAAGAATTCAAGTACAAGGGCAATCAAGTCTCTGCAATTTTATAGATCAGACCGCATCTGGAACCCGTGTACAGTTTTAGTCTGCATACCTAAGGAAGGATCTTCTTAACTCAGGGGAAGTGTAACAAAGCTTCATGGAAATGATCCCTGGGATGGCAGGAGTGTCTTATGAGGAATAATGAAAAGATTTGGCCTTTGTTCTCTATAATTTCAAGGAATAAGGGGTGATCTCACTGAAGGATACAAAATTATTACAGGATAGATGCAGCAAAGGTATCTCCCTTGGCTCGGGGATCTAGAATCAAAGGACACAGTCTCAGGACAAAAGACAGGCCATTTACAGATGAGATGAATTTCTTCACCGAAGTTTGTGGTGAAACTCTGGAATTCTCTAGCTGCCCCAGAAGACTGTGGAGGCTCAGTTATTAAGTATATTCAAGGCAGAGATCAATAGATTTCTAACTATAATAAACATCCAGGGATATGGGGGATAGTAGGAACTGCAGATGCTGGAGAATCCGAGACAACAAGGTGCAGGGCTGGATGAACACAGCAGGCCAAGCAGCATCATAGGAGCAGAGAGGCTGACGTTTCGGGCCTAGACCCTTCATCAGAAAAGGGGG